AACACAACACCAATAGCAAAGCAGACAGTGGTTCGATAATCATCTCCCTGAAATTAGTTTTTGGAACCTGGGATGTCTGTAACGTGGTGGTGTGCTGTCACCAATGGTTCCATTCAAGGTGCATAGTCACTATTTTTCCAGGTATGATGTGTGATCATATACCGGTACTACTGAGAATTGCATAATTGTCTCTTCTTGGCTGATTTATGGAACTGTCGCCGTATCCAAACCTTTATCACATGTTGTACTTCATATGAGGCCCAGCCGGATAATGTTGCTTACGGGTTTATTGTTGTGTCGTTACGCCATTGGACTGAACCGGCCACAGTGAGAGAGTAAGGGTCAGACCTGGAGCAGTAAGACATGACACTTCCTGTTTTAAGGCAGTGGGAGTGAGATGATGGTGCATCTGCGACCTCATCTGAACACTGAGATCTTTCCTGGTGTCTGCGCTTGGATTAGGATTGATCTATTGATTTTGGTACAGATCAGATTAGAAATTTGAAAATTGGTGCAAAACATGTGCCAAACCATCACATCTTAAGGCCAAAACACAACTTAGTTCAATGTTGATGGACTTCCTGTTCTCAGAAGGCGGGGCTAAGAAAGTCTGACCATTCAATTTTGTTTTGGGCAAGACATGGACCAATCAGAGAAGGTATCCTGCCTGAGGGAATGTTCTACATAGAAACTATATCGGTTTCATTTTCTGAGAGACTCCGATCTTTGAGGTAAAACTCCACCCTTTGAACACCAACCAAAACTACCTATTTCCATGACTTTAGACACCATCAATTAAAGTCCTGGTCGTTGTTGGGTGGCCATGAACATTTCTCACATATAGAGAGAATAGTTCATCATATGGTAAACAAAATACTTTGCCGCAAATACCAGGCTTCCTCAGAGCAAAAACATCTTTTCCACGAATCCTGAGCAGAATCTGCTCCATCTGTCCCAAATTAATCAGGATTTTAACCAAATTGATCACAAGATGGAGTTCCTATTTCACAACATTGACATCACAGTAACCCACACAAATGGAAATGGGAAATCTAGAAAACTAATAGAATTTATAAGTGTACTGAGGACGGTTTTTAAAAAATTGTAAAGGCCAACATGAGGGGGCACTGAAGAGCCATTTTTACCAGGCCTGACAGATGCAAACTTTGCTGCATTCTCATAACTTTTAAATGCCTTCAAAAAGCTCATTTATTTGCCACGAGAATAAACACTACAGACACGACATGTTTGACATCATATGGAACATCGGCCAACCCTACTGATGAAAACATGGCGCATGGGTGGCTGCTAACAGTGTCTCTGTTGCAGAGCGAAACATTCAAAGACGCATGACCTGGATGACACCACCCGTTTTCACTCAGCACTGATAATCCATCTCCTTTGCTTTTGCCAGACTTTGTGGTTGCGTTAGAAATCCTTAGAAAGTAACATGGAGTCTGAGATGTGATCCTGCAGCCTGAGGCTCATTTGGTCTACTTCTGGTGTCTCTTACAGGGCCTCTCTCGCCTGCTTCCACTTCAGTGTTCAGTCGACCAGTTTCATGACCCAGAAACCCTGATATCTGCTCACTGCAGAGCTGTGGGCCTCTTAAACCTGTCCCATGTCTTCCTTCTCTCACCTGGTCCCACTTCCAAAGGTCCTTAGTCTAGCTGCAGACACCCTTCTCCTCCTCTCCTGTTTCACTTTGCATCCTTAAATCTATAATCAAACCGTCTGAAGAAGAAGCGGTGATGCTAAAAGGAACATACTGAGACAGCTAACAAACCAGACAGAGGAAATAACGAAACGGATTCAATAATTGAAATGGATTAGATAATAGCGCTCCGCATCAGCAGCACTGTGTCTGTCTCCCTGTCAGCTCCCAGGTCAGCTTCTCTCTGATTGGTTGATGTGGTGAGTCGATTTTTCCAACTCCAGCAGCTGCTGGTTGTTAAATTTTGACATTTGATCAAAGTTTGCAGGGGAAAATCGGGCGTACAGTTTGTCATATGTTTAGTAAAGGGTCTACGATGTACGGCTGTATGCATCGCTAGCACAACTAAAGCACTTTGGTGTGATTGCAGCTAAGATGGAGACGCAGACTCTCACCGAAAGAGGGCCTCCCTGGAGAGCCAGACGTTATTCTGTTGGACAGTTTTCAAGGAGAAGAGCAGGATCAGCAGCAGCATGCAGACACTAAGAAGCGTGGTCCCCCAACGGCCTACGGTGGACCAGAGCCGGCCCAGACCATGAGCCACCAGAATACAGTAACCCATACTTGGAAGGAGAGAAGAGATGAGACACATTCAATTAGGGAGGTTAATTAACGAGGATTATTTCAGAGTTAAACAGATTCCTGCACAGTCTGAGACATAACTGGGATCTCGAATTTTAAAAGTTTTATAAAAGGTGCAAATCTACAACCAGAAAATAGTTAAAAATAATATATACAGCTGCAATGTTCCCTTTGGACCATGGGCCTAACGTCCCTTTGTCTCTGGTCAATAAGCAGTGGCCTCAGGCCAGGCTGTAGATTTCACAGACTCACCTGGGCATGTAGAGAACTCTCTCAGCCACAACAAATCCCACTCTAAAGAAAAGATTACTGGCTGGAATGAAGGGGAAGACCAGGAACAACATTCCCACCAACACCTCCCTGTTCTCCTGCCCCTGTAGGAGATCAACAACAAAGCCAAAGGATAGTTTTAGTGAAGGAATCTGATATTTCTAATCTAATCTGGTTGGTGCGCTGAATGAGAGACTACTGCAGTAACAGGCCACTTTAATCAAAGTATTTTTCTCACAGCAAACCACAGTTTCACAGGTTTAACACATTTCTGTTTTTGCTGAGGGTGAGGAACAGACGACCAACCATCCATTCATCTAGGCTCCTTTGCATCCCTTCTTAGCAGTGCTGGACTGTACTTTGAGAAGCCCATAATCCTGCTGGGGGACTAACCCTTTAGGGGTGCCCTCCCAGATCTGAACCCAGGTGGTGTTTCCTCTATACTGATGCTGCTATAGGCTAAAGCTGCTGGAGGACAATGAAACAACTTTCCCTCACAAATGTTACTTCTATTCTCTGGCAATAACTTTTTCAATCGCTTGTTCCACTAACTGAACCAAGATACTGGAAGGCTGGAAATACCTTGGAGGCCTGCTTTGAGAAAGGAACCTTAGTGTTTTTTGAACAACTAAAAGGAAAACACAGAAAAAAATGATTTTTGTTATGTTTAATTCCGATTGTTCCTGGGCTCCAATAAAAGACCATGTTTGGTTCCATCACGGATTGGTCTTTAAGTCAATGTGAATGCAGCTGTTCTAATGAGGATTTATTCAGGGAGAAGATATGGAGGTTTAGCTCCATCAGCCTACCCACTGGAGGAAAGGTTAGCTGTAGCTCCATCGGCCTACCCACTGGAGGAAGGTTAGCTATAGCTCCATCGGCCTACCCACTGGAGGAAAGTTAGCTATAGCTCTATCGGCCTACCCACGGGAGGAAGATTAGCT